GGGCTGGGGATTTAGCTCAGTGGTTTCACTGCCTGCCTCCCAAGCGCAAGGTCCCAAATTTGATCCCTGGTAGCCCCCCCCCCCCAAAAAAGCTGAGAATTTTTCAAAACTGGTAACTGACACCAACATCAATATTGAAGTCTCAAAAAGCCCAATCAGCACAAATTCTAAGAAAATAAAACATTTACCTAGATAAAAATTAACCTACTGAAAACCAAAACCAAACACAAAAAAATGTTTAAGCAGAAAGAGGAAAAGGTACAATACCCTTCAAAGAAACAAGATTGATGGCTAATTACTCAAAAGAAATTATGGAAGTCAGAAGACAATGGAGTGACTATTTTTTAGATAGGGTCTCACTGTGTAGTGCTGGCTGATCCCTAACTCATGACCCTCCTGCCTCAGCCTCCAGAGTACTAGAACTGCAGGCATGAGTCACTATACCCGGCCCTATTAAACAGGGAAAAAGAGAGGAAAACAAACATGGGCATTTAGAATTGTCTGCCTAGTATGAAAATGTTTAAAAACAAAAGTAAAATAAAGATGTCTTCAAATAAACAAAACAAATAAAAGGTTTGGGGGTTCTTTAGGCAAAGATCAAAGGCCAAAAAATGGCCACAGATGAAAACAGGAAATGCATAAATAAAGAGCAATGAAAAGGATAAGTGTAGATAAATATAAATGCATATAGTAAGTTACATATTTTGAAATTTAAAATGCAGACAACAATAATATAAAAAGGAAGAGGAGGGCCAGGGATTTAGCTCAGTGGTTCTGGCACCTACCACACAAGCCCAAGGTCCCAAGTTTGATCCCCGGTACCAAAAAAAAAAAGGAAGAGGAATGATTTGTTCCAACAATTGAAAGGGTTTTTGCTTTGTTTGGAAAGTGCTATGGTAGACTGAAATAAATTAAAGATGCATGTTTATACTCTAGCATGTCCTCTAAGAAGAGAGTAACAATGTGCAAGAAGTTAGTTGGGCGTGGTGGCACACACCTGTAATCCCAGCACTTGGAAGCTGAGGTAGAAGGATAGCTGTGAGTGTGAGGCCAGCCTGGGCTACATATACATAGTGAGTTCAAGGTCAGCCTGAACTACATTGCGAGGCCCTGACTCTAAAAACAAACAAACAAACCCCAAAACAAGAAGTTAATACATGGCAAATAATAAAATAGATCCAAGGAAGGACAAAAAGGAAATGAAAGAAAGCCAAAATATAAAATTGTGCATATAAATTCAACTATAACAATAATTACATTAAAAGTAATTTGCTGGGTTGAGGATATAGCTCAGTGGCACAGAGTCTGTCTGGCAAGCGCAAGGTCCTGAGATTCAATCCCTGGTACCAAAAAAAAAAAAAAAAGTAAATTTGCTATAATTCATCAATTTGAACAAATTTAAGAGAAAACTGATATAATCATCTCAGTAATATGCAGAAAAAGCATAAGCCAAATTTGACATTCCTTTGGGGGAAAAAAAATCTTAGGAAACTGGGAATAAAATACCTCCTTGATCATACAAACATCCATGAAAAGCTTACACTTGATGAATATATTTAACAGTAAACAAATGCCTTTTTCCCCAAAAGATAGCAAAAAGGCAAGGATGTTTTCTTTCACTGCTTTTATTTCTGAAACTTTTTTTTTTTTTGGTACCGGGGATCTAACTCAGGTCCTTGCGCTTGCGCAGCAGGCAGCGAAACCACTGAGCTAAATCCCCAGCCTTCTGAAACGTTTTTGAGTGTTGAGTCAGTGCTCAAGCACTTTATATTTTCAGATTAGGGATGCTTCACTGGTGTATCCAAATGACCCACTCTCATTGAACAATTTAAAAATGAGCTATTAATACAGACAACCACATGAATAAACCTCAAAATCATCATGCTAAATGAAATAATTTATACTCCAAAAAAATCCACAGAGTGACTTATTCTATTTACATAACACTGTCAAAACAAAACAAACAAAAGCTGTAGAGATGGAAATCAGATCAATGATTGCCAGGGACTGGCAGAAAGACTAACTATAAAAGAGGAAATCTTGGGCAGGGGATTTAGCTCAGTGGTTCAGGGGCCTGCCTCGAAAGCTCAAGGTCCCAAGTTCCTCTGACCGCCCCCCCCCACACCAAAAAAAAAAAAAAAGAGGAAGTTTTTTGAAGTGACAAAAATGTTCGAATTTCAACTATGTTGATAGTTATACAACTACCATTAAAACTTTTTAAAGTATATACCCCCCTTACAAAAAAAAAGTATATACCCCCCAAATTACTGTATATAAATTACATCTCAACAAATCTGATCCCAAATTTATTTTAAATTTTTTAAGTAAATGTACTTAGAGCTCCAATTTAATGATTACAACTGTCAGACTAGCTGTTTAAAATAGATAATAGTGGGCCAGGGATTTAGCTCTGGTTCTGCTGCCTGCCTCGCAAGCACAAGGTCCCAAGTTCGATCACCAGGTACCAAAAAAAAAAAAACAATAAATAAAAGATAAAGTAGATAATTGTGCCACGAGTGGTGCCACACATCTGCAATCTCAGCACTTGGGAGGCTGAGGCAGGAGGATCACCATGAGTTGGAGGCCAGCCTGGGCTACATAGTGAGTTCAAGGCCAACCTGCACTATAAAGTGAGATCCTGTCTCAAAAAAACAAAAAACAAATAGGTAACACTATCCCTTAAGAGTAAGGCTAAGCTGTTATACATGTTTATGTGACAGATCTCAAAGTTATAATGAAAATCCAAATTAAAACCAAAATGAGATACTATTAATGTACAAGTGTTCACATTATGTGTGCTTCCCATGTCATGGTAAAAAATTTTTGCAAAGGGCCGGGGATTTAGCTCTATGGTTCCGCCGCATGCCTTGCAAGTGCAAGGACCCCAGTTTGATCCCTGGTACCAGAAAAAAAAAAATGCAATTCACTGCCAAACCATGCCATCTTCCATAGAGTTAGAAGAGTAATCGCCTGCCTTGCAAGCACAAGGACTCGAGTTCGATCCCCAGTAGCAAAAAAATAAAAATTTAAAAAATAAAGAAGAGTAATCTTTCCCTTACATAAATAGATAAATTAAACTTGAGAAAATTAATTTATTCATCTAATACACCATCAAGAAAGTTAAAAACACACGGAATGGGAAAAATATTTGTATATCATATATTTGCTAACAAATCATTGCCATATACATCATATTGTTGATAAAGAACTTATATATAGAATATATATAAGTACTCTTACCACTCAACATAAAAACTCAATTAAAAATGGGCAACAGATATAAATATTTCTTCAAAAAAGATATATAAATGACCAATAAGCACATGAAAAGATGCTCAACATCTTTAATCAGTAGGGGAAAGCAATGATCCACAATGAGATGCTCCTTCACATCTACTAGGATGGGTCAAAAAAAAAGCACACAATACAAGTGTTAAAGAAATATGCAAAAATTAGAATCCTTATATATCACTGGTAGGATTGTAAAACAGTACAATTTGATGGTTCCTCAAGAACCAAGTTAAATTACCCAAGCAATTTCACTCCTTGGTATATACACAAGAAAACAAAAACATATGTCCACACAAAAACTTGTACACTAATGTTCACAGCATCATTATTCATAATAGCCAAAAGTAGTAAGCAATCTAATGTCCACTTAGGAATGTTCTGGTAAATGGATAAAATGTGATATATCCATACCATGGCATATTACTCAGATGTAAAACAGAACAAAGTACCAATATAGTCCACATGATAAATCCTGAAAATCTTAGGAGAAAAAAGCGAGCCCCCAAAGACAATATATTATATGCCATCATTTGTATGAAATGTATAGAACAGTTAATCCATAGAGACAGAAAATAAATTAGTGGTTGCTAGGGAGGGAAATGGAAAGTGACCATCACCAATAGGTACAGGGTTTCTTTTGGAGATGAAAATATTATAAAATTAGATTGTGGTGATGATTGCACAACTGTGACTATACTAAAATCCACCAAAATGTACACATTTTAAAGTGGTGAATCTTAAAGTATGTGAATTATATTTCAATAAAACTGTTATTTAAAAATATAAGATCCCTTGATAGCTTTCCTCTCCCAAAGCATTTAGTTTAGTTCTAGTTCCTTCACGACTTATTTTTGGCTAAACTTCAACTTTCATCCCCTGCTACTTACCCGTGTACCACTTTCTGATTCTACCCCTAAACACTTAATGTCATTTTATAATTTCACGTCTTTTTGTACATAATCCTCTGTCAAGAATGTCACTCTCTATCCTTTTCTCTTTCTAGAGAACCCCTATATATCCTTCAAGAATAAATGCTATCTCTTCCAAGAAGTCGTTCCTACTTTCAGATCACCTCCTCTATGCTATAAATACTGGTCTACACATCAGCAGCAGACTCTGACCCCTGAGTTTACTATATAGTATCATCTTCAGCTCTAGGACCTAACACTTGTAAGCTCTTAGTAAATGTTTATTGAATAAATGAATGACAAAACATTCCCTCACTACTGGCTAGAAGTAGTGCTATTTTTTCTCAAACTAGTTTAATTGGTAAAATCCATACAAATGTAACTTGAGTTCTGGCCTACAGAGACCAATAAAATGAAATAAAAATATAAATTTGGGGCCAACACTGAGACTTAGGGAAATTACCATAAAGTAACATTTCATGGGGGTTCACAGTTCGGATACTTATCATTGTTGACTGAACATACTTACTGATGTCAATACTCTTTTATTCAACACATTAAATGTGTTGTTTAACTCTAGTAACCACAGCTGTGACTTAGTTAACGATCTCAATAAATCCTACTTAAATCACAGACAGGAAAAGATTATGTAAATGAATTCTTATCTGTTTTTCTGCCCAAGGCATATTTGATAACAGATAAAACATACTCCAAATAGTCTCTATTTAATAATCAGGAAGCCATTCGAGGTTTTATTTGGATCAAAATCAAACACACAAAAGAGAAGCCTGCTACATTCACGAATAGTTTTATTTCAGAAAGAAATTATACATTAAAAGGAGACATAGGTAAGAGCTTACATCCACATACGGATCAGAATCTAGGAAAGTCAACAATTATTAATAAACAATGCCACATGATTAAAAGAGACAGTAACAGATAATGACAGATGGGCTTGCCTTAGTTTCATTCACAAAATAATACTTTTTATTTAAAGGCAAAAAGGTATTAGTCTTTAAGACAGCTCTTTAGAAATGAGTTTGTAGTTCCAATGGACTTTAAAATCAAACTAATTATACCAGTCTCCATGTAGGCTATATCACACTCATGTTCAAGCAGGCAGGATAGAAACCATCCATCAATTACACCTTGCAGCTAGACAGGATATCTTCCACTAATCTCTTGTAAACCCAGGCATCACCCTTAAGTCTCTGCCTCCTGATACCCACCACGTCAGGCTTTTGAAGCTGGCATACTTCTAGTTCAAACTGCATTGTCACTTTGCCAAAATCTGACTGTGTTTGACACTTCAGTGTATAGCTGTGAAAAACAAAATAAGATACCAGTTAGTCAGAAAATCATGAATATTCTGTACTGTACCAAAGGTTTCTAAGCTTCTAAGAAGCTGGAAGGGGAAATGAGATATTATTTCATACTTAGCAAAGTGCTACTGTTTAGTTTCCAAATGGCCTAGCTATGCTTTAGTGATGGAGTATTCCCAGAAGCTGAACAAAGATCCTAAAAAAGAATAAAGATGAAAAAGCTTTACCACAATTCTCATGCTCCAGAGAAAAGCCCTTCTTTCATAGCTATACATACCACTCATGCTTGGGAAATCTGGCGTTCTTTATGCAACCTTTCCAACAGTAATCCAGGAACATTAGGCTATTTTCACAATGTTCAGAACAAAGGAAAGCACAGGGAAGATTAAGAATATTTTGTATATACGCATCTTGTCAGAAACATGGGTCTTTCATGTAAATAAAACTGAAACCATTATCTTATCAGAAGGACATATATTTTTGAGAGTTTCCTAATAGTAACAAGAAGTAATGATTCTCAACATTTTACAGCAGAAAAAAAAGCAAGAGACAGCCCAAAGAGATGGTACTTTCCCACAGTGGGACATTTAATGTCAGAACTACTACATTAGCTACCTTGATGACAGAAAAGCCCAGGAAGAATACAGCGTTAATCTCATCTTAAGAAACAGAAATGAAGGGAGGGGAGAGGAATGGGGAAAAAAAAGAAGCAAATTATATCATGTACAGCACAAATTCCCTATGATGAATGTTATCATTATGTATATCTAAAATGTACCAATAAAATTTATAAAACACAAAAAAAGAGAAAGAAATAGGAATGGTCCTGAAAATTTGCATAAATTTAATTCATCTAAGTGAAATTATAGAGTTGTATTTGTCTTACTGACCTTAAATTAACAATAAATACTATAACTGATTTTAAATTTCAGTTCTAAATATTTAAGGACATAAGATTGGGCACTTTTCTACAAAAATATAGAGAAATTATTTTGTTGCTTGTTATGTATTATGAAATTTCACAAATTATCATTCTTATCTTATTAACTTATGTATTTTGGGGAAGGAGCTTGATCTCTTAAGAAAAATAAGCAGTCAAATCAGAAATGCCAAAGGAGCACCCTGTAAAGTTCTTTTTTACTTTTCTTTTGTGGCAAGCCTCTACCACTAAGCTATATAGCCCCAGCTCTCTGCGTCTCCCCCCTACACTCCTATCCATCCATCATCCATTTATTGAGACAGAGTCTTAATAAATTAAGTTGCCCAGGATGGCCTCAAATTTGTGATCCTCCAGCCTCAGTAGTTAAGGAGGATGAAGCATGAAACAATTTAGTTTGAAAGCATTTTGTCCTTATTGGAAAAACATAATAATGCAACATAACTGAGATTAGTAACATCACCCCACTGAAAAATGACTTCGTCTTTCTCCTTTATCCAAAACAAGATAAAAACAAAGTAAAAGGAAAAGAAAGGGGTCAGAACAGAGATCTTCTGGTTGCTCAGGAAGTTAGGGAGACAAAGTATTGGTTAGCATCCAGTTAGTGATCTAATAGAGATTACACACTGAAGGAAAGACCATCCAAAAGCCTGTGATAAGAGATTTGGCTAAAGATTTTCCAAACAAGCCACCAAGTATGAAGAAGCGAGCAAACTGAGTTAAACGGATGTGTTCTAATGAAGCCAAAAGGAGAAAATCTGGGTTTACGCAAGTAATGTTTATCAACATTTACAGGTAGTAAAAAGTGAAATTACATTTGCACAAGATTGTTTCTTAAAATATTACTCTATAATAACTATTCTGTTTACATGGCTTTGATAAATCTATTAGTGGCTCTACTTAGCTGCTTTAATAAAGAAATTTTAGAGACATAAATTAGTAAAAATGCCTAGAAATATAAACATCTTGGGTAACAAAACATAGCTATTCAAGGCATGAGAACATCATAAGAAGACAGTTTACTGAAGAATAGGGAAGTAACTTCCTTAAAGTACTAAAAACCCAATCCCACAAAATAGGCAGTCATAAAGAGGGTTCTGTATAAATCCTGAATTGTTCAAAGTAGCTCATTAATTTAGACTACAATTGGGGGCCAGGGATTTAGCTCAGTGGCACCACACCTGCCTCGAAAGCACAAGGTCCTGAGTTCGATTTCCTGTACCAAAAGAAAAAAAAAAGAAAACTGGAAGTTTAGTTTTTCCTGGTCTAAAATGAAAGTCTAATTTTGAAAGTGGTGACAATATGGATACTTATTAGGTCAAATAAAAGAGAATAAATTATGAACAATGATAACTATAAAAACTTTTTGGAAAATGGTGAGGAAAATAAACTTAAGTGGCAGGTTGGAGAAAATCAACCCACATTTCTTCAAAGTCCAAGTAAGTAATAAATGAAACAATTTCTAAGTAAGCTTCTTACCCCTTTTGTACAAAGTCAACATGCTTCTTTGGGAGAACAGACATTAATTCATTCAAGAGTTGATCAGGATTCACTAGTTTGGTCGTAGTCACATTATAGTGAAGCTTTAAAAAGGAAAAAAGAAGGGCTGAGAGTAAATCTTTATATCAGCACAATGTCCATCCTATCTGATCTACAGACATAAAACTCCTCAAAATTACACCTTCTCTCAGCCTCCTCCCTCCCTCCCCCTAGCCCCTCCCTCTTTCTTTCTCTCACTGTGTAGGAGGAGGCAGGGTCTCGCTGTGTAGCCCAGGCTGTCCTCAAACTCATAATCTTCCTGCCTAAGACTGAAATTACAGGTGTGTGTCACCATAGCTGGCTGTAACACCTTTTCAAACAGAGATATTTCAAGAAAATACCGAGAACACTGACAGCCAATTCTCTGTTACCTGAATTAAGATGGCACTGGGGAAGTTTGGAGAAATGTTTATTAGGAACTACACATTTATTATCCATTCTATACTTTCGCCTTCCTTTCCTACTAAATCTTTTAAAATAAATTAATATATTGGGCTGGGGATTTGGCTCAGTGGTTCCACTGCCTGCCTTGCAAGCACAAGGTTCCAAGTTTGATCCCTGGTAGCAAAAAATAAAATAAATTAATATAAAATGGCATCAACCTATCTGAACTTTACCTGCTTCTCCCTTTCTACATCAGGATAGAGACATTAACAGTCCTGAAATGTAAACTGTGGGAAGATGAAACAAATGTTCTAGAGGGGCTGGGGATTTAGCTCAGTAGTTCTGCTGCCTGCCTCGCAAGCACAAGTCCCCGAGTTTGATCCCCGGTACCAAAAAAAAAAAAAAAAAAGAAAGAAAGAAAGAAACATTATGCAACAAATGCTCTAGAAAGCTTGCTTTGTATATAGCTGGATATGTTTCCTCAATTCTTTCTGCATTAAAGACAACTATAGAATTTCAGGAGCTGATTCTATTGCAACTTTATAAGAAAATAAATTAATAGGCATTCATTTAAAGAAGTAATGTCAAGTTTTATTTTTCTTATTGACATTAGCATAATTCTAAGAAATGGTTTTATTCCTAATTTATATCTATCTCTTCCTTCTTTCAACAACTATTTATTGGATACTTCCTATGTGCCAGGCATGATTTTAGTAGGTTCTAGAGAAAGGGAGAAAAAAATTCCTATCTTTCTAGCAGTTCTTTCATTGTCAAACTAAATCATAGTTGCTATGCCTTTGAAATCTGAGTTCTTTTTATAAATAACAAAACGCTGAGGTAGGAAAGGATCTAACCATCTTAATTTTCAAAATAAGAACCTGTGGCTCAGAGAAGAGATCTAAATTTCTTAAGACAGAGCTTCCCATACTGTGGTACAAGTCATCACTGATATATAAGAAAACTGTAAATTTTTTAAATAACATACAGTTCATTGTACGTCAACTGTACCTCAATACATCCATTTTTAGAAAGTGTCAATATAAAGAAAATACCAGATAAATAACAATTCACATCACATGCCAATACAACAAACGTGAAATTGAGTGTTAAATAGTCAGAGTTTGTTGCCAGTACTTCAAGTTCTACAAGGAATAAGCAGCATAGCCAGGATGAGACCCCAATCCCATTTCCTGGCTCCTAGTGCAGGGCTCTTCACCAAGTTAAACTGGCTTAGTCAAGATAATAATAAGAATATTTCTAAATTATAATTTAATTTCTGCTTTTATAAAATAAAGAACAATCCTAATTTATCTATTTAAATTTCATATTTGTAAAGTGCTTCCTAAAAGAAGGGTTAATTGCATATGGTATCTTACAAACTAAGGTGTTCATCATACTATCATACTTTCAACTTTTCCATGTTTGTGATTTTTAACATAAGATATTGGTAGAAAAGAGGGTTAACTTCCTAAAACAAGTCTTTCACTTCTGCAAAAGCTTGAAACATTAAAACAGGTTAAAAATCCAAAGTTAGATGGTTTCAGATCTTAGGTTTGCACTAATTAGGACTGTGGTTCTGTGACAGTGGGGTTAAAATGCTCAATGTTGACAATAACGATCCTTTGCACTGGAACAACATGTTATATTAATAAAGCATTTCATATGCAATGGAGCATCTCATTTGTACAGCTTGTTTCTATAGCTCACCTTTATGGAGCTGCCAAGGTAGGCATTATCTCCAGATCTCACAAATGAAGAAAAGGAGGAAGCCAGGGATAAAATGACCTATCCAAGCTACAAGGTATAAAGCTGGTGTTAGATCAGTCTTCTGATTCCCAAAACAGTGGTTTTTCTCGCATATCTAGGAAGTACTGGGGGACTAAACAGAAGGCCAACTAATACCACAGCAATTCCTATTAATGAATTCGGGAGGGGGGAGGTTTTTTTTTTTTTAATTTTTTCTTTCTTTTTTTTTTTTCTTGTGGTACCAGAGATCGAACTCAGGACCTTGCGCTTGCAAGGCAGGTAACAGCACCACTGAGCTAAGCTCTTGGCCCGAATTCAGGTTTTAAACAATTTAGATAGATGAACATTTTTAGAACATTTCCCATCAGTATTTGATAACTGCTTAGCAAATTTCCTTAAGTTTATTTTGTGTTCTGTAATGAAATGGCACTATGGTTTTCTTAATCCCAATATAAAGTTTTGAATTACTTCCTGTCTGCTAGAGAAACCTCAGAATAAAAAGATAAAATTATACTAATAAATAGCTGCATATAACATAAAACTCAGTGCGCTATATTATAAGTTGAACAAGGCAATAAATACTAATGGATAAGTGCTATCTTCTACTTTGAGATAGGGCATAAATGAGATCTCAGAACACATTTTCTTCTAAAGTACTTCTTCCCAATAGCTCAATATTTTCCTTTCCCAAACTCTCCAGAACTGCTTGTCTCAGCACAAAAACTAAACACAGATTCAGTAAAAACACTACCATCTTCTCCCTTCTCTGGGGAGCTCAATGTACCAGAGCAGCATCCTGGCCTGTTTTCACTGCCACTCTGGGGGTTCCTCAAGGGCATTGGTTGTGTCTTATTCATTCCTTTATCTCTTAATTCTTCCACTTCCTCCAAAACATGTCATTCACTCAATGTTGAAACTAATGCTCAGAGAGAACCCAAGAGGAAAAGTTTTATATCTAATAGCTTATTTTTCCTTCCCTTCTCTACCAAATATACTGTCCACAGCCCTGACAGATTAACCCCTTTTAAAGCACAACAGGTCTATCAAATAAGATACAAACCTTTTAGCCAGATCCTTGAGTGACAGGCTGGGAAGTTAGGCTTGGAAGATCAAGCCTAACTTCCCAGCCTGTCACTCACTATTTTCCTCACACACACACTATATTTAAAGTTCAAATTAACTTCCCATACATTCAAATATTTCATGAGGACCTACAAAGGTATCTATGGGTCAGTGACTCTTCTATGTGTCAGAGATAGGAAAACTGAACTCAGGTCCCCATCCTCAAGGCGGCTCTCAGCTCCCTATATACACCCATACTTGCCCATCTCCATGTCATCTCTGTGATTAATCCCTCCATCTGATCTTGAATATTTGAATTTGCTCTTTGAAGAGACTCACTATCCCATTTACCTCTGTATTCTCGGTCTACTGCTTAAAACATGTACATATTAAATGCTAAAAAAATTAACTAAATGAATGAGTTACTTACTTAATAAAAATACTACTCAATTCAATACTTCTCTTAAAAAGAAAATAGCAGCCAGCCTTTGAAATCCTTATTGAAGAATTCCAGTCCACTTACCTTCATCCTTCTCGGCCCGTCTTTGGCACAGCCCTTCCTTTTGCTCCTGGTAAGCACCGTGATAACCTTATCCAATCCCCTTTCAAGGCTCCCAAACACTTTGGTTCCTTTTCTTTTTGGAGTATCCTCTATATGTGCCTGGTTGAGATCCACTTCCACTGAGCGGCACCTTTGAAAAAACAACAAAGCAGGAATAGCACTGGGCCTCCTGCCTGCTGGGGCCCCCGCAGGCCCTGCTTTTGTCTCTTTACACATCACAGTGCCTCAATGAGATCAGTCTAGGCCAGATCATCTCACTCCTCCTCTGAAGGCACTAAAGGTGCCTCCCCCAAAGGAGCCATCACCCATGCCCCCAGCCAACTGCCACTCAGCAAAACTATTTTTCCCCTTCATCTGCTTAGTTTTTTTGGAGGGTGTTCTGTATTGATGTCAAATATATTAAAAAATGTAACGAATAGTACTATGAATACCCATATGTTCTCCTAGATTCAACAATAGTTAACATTTTGCCACACTGGCTTTCTCTCCATATACAGACTATAAATACATTGAATATATGTCAACATTTGCTGAGCTATCTGAACATGTCAAAATATTTCACTCTGAAACATTTTAGCTTGCACCTCCAATGAATAAGAACATTTTTACCCAATCACAATACCATCACCACATTTAAAAATTTGGGCCAGGCATTTAGCTCAGTGGTTCCACTGCCTGCCTTGCAAGCACAAAGACCTGAGTTCGATCCCTGGTACCAAAAAAAAAAAAAATTAATAGTAATTCCTTAAAATCATCTATTATACAGCTCACATTCTAATTCCTCTAGCTGACCCAAAATGTATCATGCTTCAAAAGAAAAAAAAAAATAGTGGTAAAATAAAAGCACCAGGCATGACAGGGCACACCTATAATCCCAGTTACTGATAAGCCAAAGCAGGATGATCTCAAGGTCAAGGCCAGCCTAGGCAACTTAGCAAGACTGTCTCAAAATTGTAAAAAGGTTTGTAGAGTGTTGCCTAGCATGTGTAAGGCCCTGAGTTAAATCCCTAGAGAAGGAAGGAAGGGAGGGAGGGAGGGAGAGAGGAAGAGAGAGAGAGAGAGAGAGAGAATATAAATGAAGGGTCACTTGTGCTGCACAGATTTTCATCCAAGAGGAGTAGGTTTCCTCTGAAACACCAGTTAGGACCCCTTACTACTTGAGAGAATGCTGCCTGCTAGTGGATTGCTATACTCTGGCAAAAAAATTGGAGAAAGTGAACATCAAGAGGGACCAGTCCCACTGCTGGTCACCAGTTTCACAATTCTACCCCATGAGGGTAGGGGTAATAGCTCCAGTAATGGCCACAGACCATCCTCATGAAGACAGATGTCCCTGCAGTCTAGTCTCCAACAGCATTTATGTCACAGTTCACCTTAACCAGGTATGTCACAGAAGAAAAGAGAAATCTCATTATGTATACTAAAGAACAAAGAATCCCAAAAACTGAACACTTACCGCCTCTCAGGACTAATGACACCTGTCATTAACTTGTCTGTTCCTACTGAATTCATTGCTGTTTTAATTGGGGTTTCTTTCTGGCACTGGTTTCTGGCTATTAGAAAAACAACAAATACAAATCATATGCAGCTGATACACTATGGTTTTGAAATGTCTATCAATAATTTATGTCCTTTTATTCATTGACTCAGAAATACTGTAATCATTTGGCCAGCAAAGTTAAAGATTCTATTTAAAGAAATGTTGTCATGTAATTTATAATAAAAGCAAAAATCATTTTGCCTTGCATGTGTAGCTTTCTTTTACGTCACTGAAAATTGAGTTCATATGTGTTATTTTATAAATATCACATGATAATCTAAATTGATCAAATAAATACAAATTTCATGAGTACTGATTCCTCTTTCCTAAATTAATTTTTTTTTCAGTACCAAAGACTGAACTCAGGACCTTGTGCTTGGAAGGCAGGCACGGTGCCACTGAGCTAAATCCCTGGCCCCTCTTTCTATAAATTAAAGTCAATCTATATTTATACAATAGTCTAATTTATGCCTTTAACTGATATAGCATTGAAAGGTATCAATTCAATAGTCAGCTCCATTCAACCCTGTTAGGCAAAATGATCAATGCCTGTGAAATCTTGGCAAAAGTTATTAAAGAGATATGAACTTTGTTATTTTTTTTTTATATATTTCTGTTCCAGAATTTAATACTTTAGGCAAGGTATTTGCATCCCAGATAGTTTGTGACAAATCTGCATTAACAAATCTGGTTACTGGGCAGGGGATTTAGCTCAGTGGTGCCGCCGCCTGCCTCACAAGCGCAAGGTCCTAAGTTCGAGCCCTGGTACCAAAAAGAAAAAAAAAAAAAGAGGCAACAAATCTGGTTACCACTGATTAATTAACTTTTTGTTCATGATCTAAAAGTTCTATGCCTTTAGAGATAATAATATTTGCTATATGACAATGAAGATCCATCATCAAGTGTTTAAGAAGAGATTGCGAGTTTGGTTTTATATATAACTCTTAAGCTCTATTTTCACAAGAACAAGAAAGTAAGATCAATCAGAAATACCAGTTTTCATCTTTGTAGACTAGGAGTATCTGCTACCGTATATAGGTACCTTCTCACAACTACCACTGACAGGATTGTATAGCAGTCACAAAAATGAAATTAATATCTGTCAAAAATAACTCAGAGTGAAAGTAAAATGCACTAAGTGGAAGCTATCAATTTTAACTTCACCCACTTGTTCCCTTATGCAGCTCTTATGTTTAAAGAAAACAGCCAATAATAGGGGTTTTTTTTTGGTACCAGGGATCAAACTCGGAACCTTGCATTTGTGAGGCAGGTAGCAGAACCACTGAGCTAAATCCCCAGCCCACCCATAACTGTAATATGGGGTTTTTTTTGGTACTGGGGATCGAACTCAGGTTCTTATGCTTGCGAGGCAGGCAGCAGAACCACTGAACTGAATCCCCAGCCCTCAATAATAGATTTTGACCAACACAATCTCACAGGGACAAGATATGTAAACTGATGACTTTAAGATTATAAAATAAATTCCAGGGCCAGGGATTTAGCTCAGTGGTTTCGCCGCCTGCTGCGCAAGCGGCAAGGACCCAAGTTCGATCCCCGACACCAAAAAAAAAAAAAAAGATTATAAAATAAATTCCAAACTATATACATTTCAAAACCTTAGAGTTACATAAAAAGTAAAAACTATCAATAATGAAAGTGATTATATAGTACTATCAAAGGGTTTTTTAAAAATCTCTGAATGAACTAAGACAAGCTAAGGTCCATCTTATTTCCCTGTTTAACCTGATTCATAAAGGACACTGTAGTTAAGAGAAATAAGGTCCTACTCTGTTCAGATGTTATTTCACTGAATCCTCATAACAAGCACAGGCAGCTATACACACAAATACATATCATCACAGCAAACTGGCCTCACAGCTTTGGGGAAAAGTATTATTTGAGTTGACAAAATGGAAAATGCCATTAATGTAATGCGCCTTCCTAACAAATATTCAGGCATAGTCTTCTATAATATCTTCATGGATAATAAGTTGACCTCTTGAACTGACTGTTAGGTCCATTAGCAAACTAGAAGCACAACAGTAAGAAGTAGTTTGGCAGCAGTTCACATGGCAAGGCTTCAGAGTTTGGGTTCGCTAAGGCCTTAATAAAACCCAAGAGAAGGTCACAATTACTTGAAAGGGGGCTAATAAAGCTTAGGGCCCATTTAAAATAATGACATAGACTAGATCAAGGTAAATAAAATTCCTTCACATTCTAATTTATTTCTTCATTTGGCAATATGGCCACTACCACACCCTATGAGAGGCTGCACTAAATAAGGCAGACAGTCTCTGCTGTCACACTTAGACCCTTATCTTGTGAAACCCCATCCTAGGAAACTGGGTCTAGTTCTATATTTTAAGAGGCATGCTGAAAAAGAGCAATGTGTCCAGTCAACCAAAACCCTGAAACATCATAAAGGAAACAGTTTAAATAAATGGTAATGATTAAATTTGAGAAGAAGGGCCAGGGATTTAGCTCAGCGGTTCTGCCACCTGCCTGGGAAGCGCAAGGTCCCGAGTTTGATCCCCAGTACCAAAAAAAAAAAACTTTTTTGAGAAGAAACCAAGGGAAATGAGAGGATTGTGGTATCTGGACACTGACATAGATATCTGGAAGGCCCTGCTGCGTTTAGTGGCAATGTAACAGGGCAGAGCAGGACCAGATACTAGAAGTGATAAATGGGCAAGAAAGATTTAAACCTGGATATGAGGTTGAGCAAAATCACTTCACTAATCTGAGTCACAAGTTGCTAAACAGTAAAAATGGGAATTGAATTAGATAAGCTCTTAACTTGTCTTTCAGTTTTGACATCCTATGATACTATGTATCAATCTTATAAAAATGGAAAAAAGAAAAACATTACCATTTGAAAATACCCAATACGCTTTCATTTCAACTAACGCAGAGTAACAAGATTTAAGAAAAAAAAAAGCAACTTGACTTCTCTGAGAAATTCTCGAGAGCAATGCTACTAGTAATTTCTGGCCTAATATATGTTTATTTAACATAGCCAAAGGAATGAAATTTAAAGCTTTTTAAATCACTGCTTAAATCACTTAGCAAATACCTTTTGAGGGTGTAGTGTAATGATTTGGTGTAGTAAGTATTTCTCTTTTATGTTGGTTCTTATTAACTGGAGTCTTAGGCTCAGGAAACATAAAGTTCTCTTCATTCTTTATAGTGGTCTTAGGAGTATATACATTCTCTTTGTTCTTTAATTTATTTGCAGATGCTCTGCATGGTACCGGAGTTAATGATTTAGACTCTAGGCCATTTGATTCTGTCCAATGCTTGGTAAACTGGGAAAAAAAAGTTACTAGATAAAGCACAGTGAGGAAGAAAAGTCAATTTCTTTACAACATGCCTTAATCACTTGCAAATTACCTTGCACTGTTTTTATTAAAATTAAGTACTATTAAAAGAATGTTATTGGCAATACTAGGAAATTTGAAAATGTATATTTGGTTCTCTTTAGTATAGGTAGATCACTTCAGTCCATTCCACTGACAGGTAATTTTCAACATGTTTCAGAGTCAGTGTTTAAACATACCTAAAAACTTAGGCAATATTCAGAATGGCCACAAATAATTCCTAAGAAATGATTCCTACACCTAGGCTGCCATGTTTTGCCTCTAACATGTACCAAAAAATAAAATGTTGATCAGTGATTATTAGCAAAAAAAAAAGTTAAAATACTTTTACAGAAATGATGGATAAAAAGTATTTTTAAAATTTTAAAGAAAGGAAGAGGAATTGGGAAATAGTGAATTGAGAAGAGGAATTGAGAAAAAGTGAGATAAACTAAAACATAAAATAAGATGGCAGATAAATGATAAGTACGTTAGCTATCGAATAAATACAGTTTGGGCTGGGACTGTAGCTCAGCTGCGCAGCGCCTGCCTAGGAAGAGCAAGTCCCTGAGTTCTAGTCCCACTACCAAAAAAAAAAGACAAACAAATATAGGTTGGTTAAGCTCAAGAGACAAAGAGTTTCGATTTATATATCAAATAGTTATATTATTTTTATGAGATTTGTCTAAAATATAAGGGCATGAAAGGTTTTATTGGTTTATTTGTACCGATAATGCACATCTTACTTAATTTATGTACTTTCCTAATAGTCTATATCTGGTTGGTCAATTTCATCCCTTCTTGTTCTTAATCTTCAGGAATATTTCAGCTATTCTTACTCTTCTGCATTTCCATATATATTTTAAAGTCATTTGACAAGCTTCACATAAACTCAAAAGTTGAAATTACACTGAATTTAAGATTAAATTTGGAAAAAGTTCAAGTCTTAACCTTTAAATCTCCATATCCATTATCAGACTACACTGCTATTCTTTCAGAACTCTGCTGTATGAGCCAAGGCTCACAGCATTTTTTCAACAAAAGTAGTTAAGTAAGATCAGCAAGCTTTGTGACATTTTATCTTGCCTATCCCTTTCTCCTTAGCTCTCTGTGGTAACTTTAGGAACCAACAGCCCACAATCATGATGAAAACCAAAACCAGCAGCCTGGAGCTATTGGAGAGGGCAGAAGAGGTTAGAGTTTCCTTGAAGCTTTACATTCAGAGAACTGTCATTACCTAACCTGTCTGTTAGTTCCTAGGAAAACCCCACCCTACTCTCAAGGCTGACTCAACTCTAGTCCACTGTGAAGTCTTTTCCCCAGAGCTATTCATTAAAATTGCCTGTAATTTCAGCACTCTGAGAAGCTGTGAAAGGAGGATCTCAAGTTCAAGCCCAACCTAGGAAACTTAGTGAGACCTTATCTCAAAATATAAAATAAAAAAGGGCTGAGAATGTAGCTCATTGCAAAGGCTGTGGGTTTGGTCCGAGGAGGGGAGGGGAGGAAAAAAATAAGGCAGACAATGGAAAACTGCTTGTGGCAGTAGGTAACAATTGAGGAAAACAAAAGACTAACCAAAACACTTAAAAGGAAAAAATGAAGAATGAGATGTCCACAATGGCTGTGAAAAGCTCTGACATGTACCTTGGAATCAGAAGGCCATATACTGTGCACATTCTCAGGACTGATGTACTTACTCAGGAAAGACCTGAAAAGATTCTCTAAATTCTCAAGCTCACCCAATGTTGAAACCCTGCACAAACAGGAAGTGAAAGCTAAAGTGGTTGTCAAATGCCTGGCTGTGTACTGAAAACATGCTCCCATATCCCCTTACAAAGATTTTTGATTCTGCATCTAAGAAAATCTCCATTGTAAGCATTAGTTGATTGCTATGATAATTCAGCAAAGACTTCTGTGACCATATATGAAGAATACAGACTTTACAGAAGTAGTTCAGAAAAGCCACTGAATAACAACTAGCAACATCAAATCCTAGAGAAGGAAGTATATCTGACTATCAGAGTTGCCATGTTATTTAAAATGTCCAATTTTAAAAGACATAAGCATGCAAAGGAATATTAAAGTGTGCCCCATATACAGGGGAAAAAACAATCAATAGAAACTGTCCTTGGAGAAGCCTAGAGATTGGACTTAACCAAAGACTATTTTAATCAGTTTCATATGTATTCAAAGAACAAAAAAGCATACTGACAGAACCAAAGGAAAGTATAAAAACTATGTCACAAGTAGCATGTTAATAGCATATTTAAAAGAACAGAAATTCTAGAGTTGAAAAGTATAATAATTATAATGAAAAATTTATCAGAGGAGTTCAATAGCATTTTAAGTAGGCAAAAGAAAAAATCAGCAAATTTGGAAATAGACTAAGTGAAATTATCTATCTGAAGAACAGAAGGAAAAAGGAAAAATGAATAAAGCATCAGAAAACTGAACAACAACAAGATGTATGCCAATATATGCGTATAAGAGGAATACCAGATGAGAACAGAGAGAAGTATTTGAAAAATAATGGCCCAAAATTTGCAAACTAGACGAAAAACATTAATCCACATTCCCAAGAAGCTCAACAAACTGCAAGAAGAATAAAGATGATCAATCATTGTGTACTACAAACATGTACTAATAAAAATAAAAATTAAAAACTAAAATGAGCAAAGTTTTGTGTTCAATTCCCAGTACTGCGAAAAAAAAATAGGTTTAAAAACCTATTTAACTACATATAAATTATTCTTCATTTTTTAAAAATGGAGCAATAAAATGCTTCAAAATGGAATCTTAGCTTTCTTAAACTTGAAAATAATACATTTCCCTTTCATACATATTCCAATAATCTCTCATTAATATTTTCAGTGGTCTACAAATTCAATAAATTTGCAAGCAAACACTTGATTTCAGGTTAGTATACATGTTTTCATAACTTAAACATATAGTGTACTCTTTTAAATAGTAATTAAAAACTACCAACCTGTGGTGTTTGGGGAGTTGATAAATTGTCTTCACACCATTCATAGTCTATTAATCCAGCCACATAATTTTCACCACCTGTGGTCACATCTTCCAGACTCAGATTTTTTTATTATTCAATTAAAAGACAAAAGACAAAAAAAAAAAAAAAAAAAAACAAGACAAAAGAAGTTAGAAATAATAGCACTGTAACTCAAGACCCTGGAAGCAGAAACTAACCAGAGACAGGATACTGAATGAGCTCATCATTTAGTACAGAAGACAGGTAGTCAAAAGTTTTCAGCTCAAATTATAGTAGACCCTTGAGTTACAAAGGGCCTTACATATAAACAACATGGGTTAAGTTACAACTAGGATCTTAGTTTTAACTTAAAAAGACTTGAGTTACAACCCAAATGCTGGCTGCTTGTGCTTCCAGATGGTCTCAGGTACAGATTTAACCCTTAAAGAGTTCTGGAAGGAACATTACAACATCCTTTCCTGAGGTTAATTGAGAAATCCTGGCCCAATGTCTCTCTAAGGACACTGAGATCTGCCTGTGTACAAGAGAGAGACTTTGAAGGCTGTGTAGAGGAGCCTGAGCCTTCAACTGACCAACTTGAGTTACAACAAGCCCTCGGGAACTAATTGAGTTTGTAAGTCAAGGGTCTACTGTTGTAGACAGAAGATTCTCTGATTCTTAAACAATGTGTTTCAGAAAATTCTTACGTTATATGGCATGCTACTTACTTAGCTTATCATTATCACATAATCACTATGTAACAGACATTTACAAATTTACAAATAAAAAGCTCTACAAAAAGCAGAAGATGGAAAGGAGGTGACTTTTTAGTTGTAAGAACATACAAACTAGTTAATTATTTCTAACAAGAATAAATTAGCCTTATGAAAAGATCTTCCCTGGACAGATCACTTGGGGTCCTTTGTTAATACTGTCACCAGAGTAGCTTTTATTTCTCCCTCCTTCCGTTTTCCTCAATATCTTGTTAATCTGGCCAGTCAAGTTTACTTGAATTTCTAATACCTCATCTTTCTTTTCCAGACCCACACTGTCACTGCTGGCTAGTTCAAGGACATATCTTCTTATATCTCAAACAGACAATTCGATCTCTGCTACCAATCTGTCTACCCTCTCAACCAGGGGCAACAGAGTTCTCCAGGATTGCCAATTACCATCAACTAGAACTGCCTGCATGGAGTGCTAGCCTGAAAAAAAAATTCTAACGCTAAGCCTAGGCTTAATGGGGAAAAAGTTGAGAGCTGTATGAATGATAACTGTCAAGGGTACAGAAGTTAAGAATAACAACATAATACCATTTCTGAGTGCACAATTCCATTTATCACTGAATGAATTTTTTAAAATCATAGTCTTTCTTGCTCAAAAACCAATCCCCAATACCTCTAGCACAAAGTCTAAAACTCTAACACGGTATTTCAAGGTTCATCACAGCCCAGCTCTTACCTACCCTTCCAACTCACTTGTTCTCTCTCGTTTCTACATTTCCCTTATCTGAACTCTTCATTTTACCAAACAAGTCTAGCTACTGTCAATAGAATACACAGTTAAGTGCCTGAGCTTTTGCTAATTCCATTTATCTTGCCCCAAATACTATGCTCCTTCTTTTCCATTTTTTAAAAACCAAACTGTTGGTCCAGTTTGGGCCTCCCATGGTGATTACTCCCATATTCTAAAGCCCCTACAGCACACTTCTAGCCATTTATCTATCACCTACTACAATGCTCTATGTATTTGTTTCTTGCCTTGACTTGGTTGTTAGAGGAAGTACCACACCTCATACAGTCTGTCTCCTGAGATCTAGTGTGAGATAAGACCTACAAGTGTTACTAATGTTAATGACAGTGTGGTCTTTCTTGGATCACTTTATCGTTTCACTGAAACTGCCATATATTGATTGATAATTCAGAATTACTTGCTTTTGTTTAAAGAACACCCCAGAGAAAAAGGGTAATTCTATAATTATATCTATAATTATATCAAGGGAGAGAACAGTATCAAAAAACAAACTACATTACTTAATGACTTGCAAAGAGATCTGAAAAAACCCAAAATTTGATTTCTACTTCATTTCTTGTCATTAATAGCCTATCTGCTATAATATGACTGCCCAAATAATGATACTGTTAGGTAAATGTTCATTATGTAGTAGATTGAAGATAAGAGTAATATCTTCCCAGATATTTTCCACTTTTTATATAAGCATCTCAACTGAGACCAGGTCAATTCAGATTTAAGACAATCCAATGGGTCAGGAAAATGTCTCAAATCTATTAACTGAGTAGTCATAAATTTAAAAATTTATCCAAAGTGAGGGCATGGTGGCACATACCTGTACTCCCAGCTACTGAAGAGGCTGAAGCAGGAGGATTACAATTTCAAGCCCATCCTGGGCAACAGAGCAAGACCCAACCTTAGCTAAAATGATTATTCTAAGTGTAGAAGTATCTAATACCTTTCTGTAATTACCTTGATCAGAAGCAAAGCTCATGCTTTTGTGTCCTGATCCAAATGAGTCTGAAAGTTTAAAGGGTTTGACAATGTGGCAAGAAGGGTGATGGGTTGATTCATGGAGTGATAAGCAAAAGATCTCCCTGGACATGGGGTATATACCAGCCCAATAAAACTCTCCAAGATTAGAACATTATCCTAGGAATAAGATTATTTCATTTTAGAGATTTCTTTACATTAACAGTCACTTGCACTGATACTTTTTGTTCTTAGTTTGGTCAAAAAGACCAACTAGGGAGGGAAAATAGGGCAGTGGGCAGATTGGGTGTGGCAGAGACACAAGATCCACCATACTCATGATTAAACAAGGGCTAAAAAGAGAGGTCTAACTGAGTTGCTGAAGGAATTTGGGGAGAGAAAGGATGCAACTAAAAATGATGAAAGAGGTGGCATTTTAATAGTTTTTGCACAGTTTTGAGACCTAAAGAAAAACATCATCTCATCCTCGGTCACTTGAGTTATTTAAAATTCTATAAAGAGAACCAACTACCTCTCTCTGAGGACCACAAAGGTACAGTTTCCTAATGCTAGATAGAGTAATTTCAGTTGCAACCTGAATTAATCTGAGAGATTATATTATAATATTCTATACCCATCTAACAAAGTATTTGGACAGCTGAATTTTAAGCTATGGGAGATACAAAGAACCACACAGAAAATATATTAATGTAAGCATTTAGGAATAACACGTTGCTTCCAATATGTAAAGCTGCTCCACTGTGGTAAATGTCGACAACAAAGGAAACCAAGAGATGACAAAATAGAGAATAATTTGGTTACAAGCAACTCTCATGCCAAGAATCTGTATTGTATGAGCTATAGCTACCGCAAAAATCTAAAGCTAAACCCTTAACATAAATAACAAAATATTTATTAAAGTATTTTGTTATGTGAAGTATAATATATCTTGTATTCATAAATCTTATTCCAAATAACTTAAAATTGTTCTCTACAATTCAATAACATTGTGTCCTTTTCAGGCATGTATATATATTATATAAACAAACACATACACTCAAAAAGACTGGGAAGACAGTAAGATATCAACTATGTCATCTACAGTTAGTAGGCTTATTGGCCAATTCTGTTTTGCTTTTAGTTCGTCTATTTCTCTATAATAATCATGAACTGTTTTTGTGAAGAAAAAGAGCCAGAGAGAGGTGGGTTTTTTGGTACTGGGGATCAAACTCAGGACCTTGAGCTTGTAAGGCAGGCACGGTGCCACTGAGCTAATGTCATGTTAACATTCAAACTTTCAGAGTTCAAGTTCAGAATTTTTCATGTTTCTCATCAAAAATATTTAAATCCTTTGATCCCTGGTACCAAAAAAAAAAAATTTAAATCCTAAAATGTCTTGGCTCTGGCTCCTTGACACCAGGAAGTTAATGTTCCCCGTGGTATGTCCACTCAAGAACAGGGTGACACATGACAAGATGGGCATATGTTCATACAAAAAGTTCTAGTATTTACCTTTGGGGTGGCACTAGTAGGTTCACAGGAAAAAGAAGGAAGCCATAAACGAACTGGTTTTCCCCGAGCCTTCTTGGCTAGAAGCAGAAGATAGGTGGCTGTGAGGTGATCATATTGCCACTAGAGGAAAAGGAAATCGAGCTTTTTAGAAAATTAATGTTAGTTGTTGAAATAATGTTCTATTTAAAGTTAATCTTTTTCTCAATACTATATTCAGAATTTTAAAAGTCAATAGCTTTTCAAATAATATGACAAATAGGGATTCTCTGTACCACACATCTACAATTTCCACTCGACAGAAAGAACACCCAAGCACTTTTACTAATTTCTTCTGCTACTAATTGCATATACACTTTTGTGTTTTTTCAGCTTCAGATATTACCTATAGATTTTCTAGTACGAAAAATGAGAATTTAGGTCTATAACAATTCCCTCCCTTCTCTACATATCTTTTCCCTGTCTCCTTCTACAGTATTGGAATTTTCAGTGTCTACATTTTAAGTAATTAAATAGTATTCACAACTAAGTGGGGGTAATGTTCTAAATATTTAACGGGTAACCTCACACCAAATAATTGGAATAGAGGTCAAGAAGTGAGGGGGGTTCCAGAGGATCTCTGTCGTGCAGATTATTAACCTTTGAATTGTAGGGAAAGTAGTGCCAGGGTGCCTAAGAGTGGTAACAAGGCAACAGAGAAGGCACCTGAAATTGTGGTTACTTACTAAGCATATACAAATATTCCAACAACCAATCTGGCCACACTGACTGAATATTGGCCCAGCAGCTAAACCACACAGGGCACTATTCTTACATTTTCTTTTTTTTCATATATATAACTTCTTTTTCCTGAAGTTAAAACTTTTTAAAAGTCTGTTATTCTTCACATTAATTCAGCCTAACAGGCTCCAACACTCTTGACCGCTTCTCGACAGGTTCACACCACATGAGATATCCTGCCTCCTCCCTTCTCCTGGATATCCCACCAAAGGTCTGCATTCCATGTTGCCCCCTGGACTGGCTTCTTCCTCAGACCACTACCCAACTATCAGTCTAGAGTTCTTTCACTTCTGTCCCACAGTGTATCTCCAGTTCCCTAGATTCTTATTTTTCCTCTTTCTTGGTGTAATTACATTCTTGTTTTGGTGAAACTCATCATCTAGTAACTTTCTGCGGGTGCAGATGTGGGAGGTAAATTTTTTGAGATTTTGCATATCTGACAAGACAACATCTATCCTCACACTTGATTTTGACTTGGCCAAATTAATGGACCTCTTTATTCTAGTGTCGCTACTGAAAAATCTAGTCTTTCTGACTCCCAAACCTTTGTGTATGTCCTTTTGTTATCGTCTCTAAACTTCTTTTGATATTCTCTTTCTCCCCAGTTTTCAGAGATTCCACTAGAACGGGCCTTGGTGTAGATCTATTCTCATGCACTATGCCAAACCCTGGTTAATCCCAACTTTATTTTTGGAAACTCATATACTCTAGCTCTGAAATATTTCTTTGATAGGTCCTTCCCCTCTTTCTTCTGTTTTATTTTCCTACAGCTCCTATTATTTGTACGTTGAACCTTTCTTACCCCATCTCTATTTTTCCATCTGTCTTTAGGTTCTATTTTTGACATATTCCACATTAACTTCATTTTTAAACACTGAGTTTTCATTTCTGTGGGCATATATTAGGTTTGAAAGAGCTATCACTTGGAAAGTTCCTCTTTTACTCATCTTATTCCTATTTCAAGAATGAAATAGCTTTTCTAATCTGAGAATTATCATTTTTAACCAATTTTCCTCATTCCCTGCATTATCATCTTCTTCTGAGTAACTTTTTTCTTTCTTCCTCTTACACCCCTCTGCTCAATTTATTTTGACTTTTGACTTTTTTTTTCCATTTTTTTTCTCTTTTCTCTTCTTTCTGGTGCTGAAGATTGAACCCAGGACTTTGTACACACTAAGCGCATGCTCTACCACTGAGCTACACAACCAGCCCCTGACCTCTAATTTTCACATTAGAGTTTTTCCTCAAATCTCTGTCAATCTTTGGTTGTCTACTATATTAAAAGTGAAGAATTATATTTCACAGCTGATTAGAGCCTCAGTGGGTGGGATGACTGGGTGTGGTAGTGCATGCCTGTAATCCCAGCACTCAGCAGGTTGAGGCAGGAAGACTGCTATGAGTTTGAGGTCAGTCTGGGCTACATAGTGAGCTAAGGACCAGCCTAGACTACATAGTGAGACCCTGTCTCAAAGAAAAAAAAAATCAGTTACTCAGTGAGTGGGACAGGGCTGCTGCCCATCACCTTAATGGCTTTTCTCCAAGGTGAAGAGACAAGAACCTGAATTCCTAACTATCAGTATAGTAGGTCTTGCCTCCTGGCTGTTCCATAGAAATAAATCTTCCAATATTTTCCCCACCCTCACTGAAAATAGGACAAAGTCCTAGTTCCAGTATTCTCAGGTTGAATAGAGAAGGGGATTAGAAGCAATGGTTCACTGCTAAATATGAGGACTCTATGTACCCATGTATCCATTTCAACAAGGTTCATCATCTGAGCTGTGCCTGGTTCAATAATGCCTCTTGTTAAGCATCTCAAATTTTCTGCTGGGGCAGGGAAGAAATCACTGCATGAGCACAAGGTGGCAATAGGGACCCAAGGTTCTCATTGTTTCTTCTAGAACAGATTTTTCAAGCAATTCTCTTGTTACTTCTTTGACGTCAGAGTTTCCTGAGATTTTCTGAAGCTCTGGGCAGTAATCATTTGCTTGTTGCCTTTTGCTACTGCAGGCACTTAGAATTTGGCTTTCTCCAAAATACTATGTTAGTTACCATTTATCTTTTCTGTAACTTCCAAAATTATATTGATATCCCTTTGTCTCTTCTATTATCTTTGTCCTTAAGAGGGTTTTTTTTTTTTTGCTTTTTTAATCCCTTTTTGTTGTTGTAGTAAAGTTTTAGAAAATGTTAGATGTAAATATATCTATTCAATCCACTGTGTTTAGTCTAAAATTTCTATATAATGTACTCATAAGATTATGAGACTCTGGACCGGGGATTTAGCTCAGTGGTTCTGCCGCTTGCCTCGCAAGCACAAGGACCCAAGTTCGATCCCCGTTACCAAAAAAAAAAAAAGGATTATGAGACTCGGACCTACGAAAGTGACAGATTTTTTTTTTTCTTTTGGTACCAGGCACCGAACTCGGGACCTTGTGCTTGCAAGGCAGGCAGTGGAACCACTGAGTTAAATCCCTGGCCCAAAAAGTGATAGATTTAATACTATAGAATAATATTAAATGGTATGGAGCGCCCTAAAGAAATCTACTACTAATTGTTTTTATTAATAAATTTTATCATTTAGTATTTTAGACAGCCTCAAGTGTAATATATGCTTTGAAAATTTCCCCTACCAATCTAGTGAGGGAAGTATAAAGCACTATGACAAATTGTCATAGAATGCTGTCTTTAATCCAGGCAGAACAGAAAGAAGGAAGAAAACAAAGGAGGAAGGCAGAGAGGAAGAGAGGAAGGGAGGAAAGGAGGAAGAGAAGCAGGGAGAAAAACCTTCCTGTAGAAGTTATCTGGGACCTGGGTAAAAAGTAGTTATAATCAACCTCCATCCTCCCAAAACTACATTAAAGATTTTCCCCCATCTATTGTCTCATGTGTGCTAGGCACCTTTTTAATGAAATGCTACAAACTGATAAAAGACAATTGATAAGAAACAAATTTTCACTTTCTTATCAACAATGGCATGGCATAACCCAGGCACTGCAAACTATTCCTGGGTAGGCCTAAAGGTTTTAGGAAAAAAAGTTTTTTTATAACTTTTTTTTCCAAAACCATAGTATACTTCTCATTATGATAAGATACATAGGGGAGTTCTGTGTTCAATAACAGATAAATCAACAAATTAATTACATTTTCAGGTATAATGTCAATCCACAAGTCTAATACAACTAATGTGTCTCTTATCTTTTAGGCAGTTCACTCTTTTGAAAGTCAAATGTTTGAAAGTGATAGGTTTACATATTAGGAAAAACCTTCCATTTCTAGAAAACTAGAAACAATTTTTAAATCCCCAGTTAAATGTTGAAGAAGTTCATAGGCACCTGGGCTGAGAGGCAGCTACAGTCAGAAGGTGAGATAAATTGAGAATGGCCCACCACTCTTTGCCTGGCCTCTTCCCCTGGGCTTCAATTTTTAAACACATGGATGTTTGCATCACAGAAATGGGGGATGGGGGTTCTTGTCTATTCTCAATAGGTTCTCATATGCTCATATGACTGTCAGTGAAGTCTCCCTATCAGATGAATGGCTGTCCCCACAATCTGGAGCACTAACTGCTGGAGAAACAGGGAGAAAGTAAGGAAAGCAATAAGCTGGAAGCTCTAGCACCACTGTTAGGAATCTCAAAAGGGCCACAAAGATATCACTCAAAATCATGAGTCACAGGAGATTCTGACAAGTGCAGAAAAAAAGCAGTCTAAGAGTGATGATATATATAATATGCAAGAAGAGTTTGAATATTTAGGAATTATATTTCTCTATTTTTGCACAAAGATCAGCAGCATCGTGCCAAAATGGGTCACATTGAACTGATTTCTCTCTATCTGTTTAACCAGAGCCAAAGTAAAGGCAAAGCTCCCAAGATGCTATAAAAATATAAAAGACCCTAGTTGATCTCAAACTTTGTTTTCCAGGGCTCTTCAAACTGGAAAGTACCTAAAACCAACATGAGTTCTCTGAGACGACTGAGATTAGGATCTTAAAACCTGGGACTACTCACTTCTGACCTGGATAATTCTTTGTTGTTAGTGGATGTTCTGTGCATTGTAGGATGCTTATCAGTATCTCTGATCTCTACTGGAGGACATTAATACATACATATATATATACACATACATACATTAACTGTGACATCCAAAAATGTCTCCAGACATTGCCAGATGTCCCTGGTGGGGGCCAAATATCACTCATGGTTAAGAACTGACCTAGACCAAGACTTCTCAAGCTTTAACGTACAGACAAATCACTAGGGGATTTTATTAAGATGCAAATTCTGATTCAGAAGGTCTACCATAAGGCCTGAGATTCTGCATTTCTAATCAGCATTTAAAGGATACTGTTACTGCTGGCTCTAGACTATACTTTGAATAGCAAGAAACTAGAAGACTGATTTTTTTAACTCCTAGAGCTGTAAGATGCAATAATTTGGGATGTTTTTAAAAATTCCAATGAAGCTGAGCCAGGCATGGTGTCTTATGCCTGTTATCCTAGCACTCAAGAGGGTTTGTGTTTACATGTCCCCCCAAAGCCTCATGCAGTCATAGGAGGGGAGCACAGCAAGGTATGATCTTCATTTATCACACTAGACTGTACCCAGAAACAGCTATTAATGTCTCTATCTCTAGAAAAAAATACAGATATAATCCAGGTACATAGTAAGCATCTGAAAGACCTGAATGATCCAACACCAGAAATCCTTATAATGATTTCTGTATTTGGTCCATAAGCTTGGGCAATGTGACACTATAGGGTTATTTATAGGTAAGAAAAGTGCACTGTGTTTACCTCATTTTTACAGCACAATCAGATTTCTATGATAGAGACCTTTAAAGCAGCCAAAATTAGAGCTACTGATTCTCTATGGACTACTATTCTGTTTATTAATTTTTTTTCACTACATGGCTCTAATCAATATCTTTCTTTTTTCTTTTGAGACAAGGTCTTGCTAAGTCACTTAATTGCCAGGCTAGGCTTGGATTTGTGATCCTCCTGCCTCAGCCTCCCAGAGTGAGGGGATTACAGGAAGACACACCATGCCCAGTTAATCAATGTCTTAAATGTAAAGTGTTCATTTTAAAGAACTGCACTGAAATTGTACATAAATATATAAAATGCGCACAATACTTACATTCATGAAAAAATCATAGGTCTGCAACATGGTATATTATGTTTAATGTACTAAGAAAATAAAGAACAATGAAATAAGATATTCTCAAATTCATGTTGTATTTCTTACCAATGAAATTAAATCCTCCATTGTTTGCCTGTTGTTTCTATGATGTACAGAAAGTTCTGTTACACAATCATCATCAAGGTGAATAAACTACAAAAAAGAATTTCATAAGCTTTATTAGAAATTACTATTATTGTTTTGAAACAAAAATCAGCATAATTGCTCTATAAAATCAAACACCAATATGTAACATTAATAGGAGTTTGTCAAACTTTGGGATTCATTCTCTCTCTGTCTCTCAGAGGATCAAACATTGTACCTCACCCATATACTTACCACTGAGGTATACCTCCAGCCCAACATTCCTTATAATTTTTAAAGGCATATAAGAAAATGCAATAACCATTTTAAGAAGATAAGTTTTTTCCCAGCTCTCCATACCCTCTTCCTCATCAGATCGAATATTAAAATGCCTTCGCTCAGCAAAGGAACTATATGCACCCCTTCTCTCCTGCAAGACCTTGGCATTTTCATCAACAAGTACCATCTAGGCACTGTAGTACAGTGGTTGTACAACATATTGGTAAAAAGTGGCTCAGGGTGGCAGCATATTATGCCTCAGTTTATGTTTAGGTCAGCACAATCTCAAGAGCCCTGAAGATGGTGCCACAGATGCTATACAATCACCAGTATCCTAAAGGTACTAGCAAAATTTAACTTTAAACAAGAATGAGAAGTCAGGCATGGTGGTGCATTCCTGTAATCCTAGCACTCAGGAGACTGAGGCAGGAGGATCACTGCAAATTCAAGGCCAGCCTAGTCTACATAGTGAGCTCAAGCCAGCCTCAACTACACAGTGAGAACCTGTCTCCAAAAAAAAAAACCCCAAGGGCCAGGGATTTAGCTCAGTGGCACCATGCTAAGTGCAAGCTCCTGAGTTCCATCCCTGGTACCAAAAAAAAAGGAAAAAACAAAACCCCAAACAAACAAACACTGAAGAATCTCTACATAAATTTCATTTTCCTTCACAATAGAAATGATCCACCTATTCAGATCCCTGCAGGATGGGACCTCAGCAAAGATAGGACCAGAAGGGAACAGAATATACATCATAGAACAAAAGGAATGGCCTGGTCCAGCCTGGACAGGAATTCACCACATGTGAAGAGAATCATATAGAATGTAACGTTAAGGTTCATCTTTCCAAAGTAAGACATTCTTTTCACAACAGCCCAATAAGTGATGTTTTACTTTCTGCTTCAAGGCCTCCTCTGCAGGGAACTCAGAACAGTTGGGATGGTTAGCTTTTCCCTGTTGTGTGAGGTCTGTCTCACTGTGATCTCTATCCAACGTGAGTCAGTGCACAGCCTGATGGCTAAGGGGCTTTGGGATTAGGCAGACCTTGCTTTTAATTGTGACATCATTTAATAATTGTGTGACCTTGAACATGTTACTATATCTCTCAGAGCCTCAGTTTCATCATTTATAAAAGAGAGATAGTATATGCGTTGGAATATCTGTAACATAGGGAATGTCTAGTACATCTAAACAGATAAGGCCCTCAAAGAGCGAATAACTACTTTTACTAACAGTCACAATGTTATTTCTTCTTTAAGAACTTCTCAGAAACTTGAATATTCCTTTCTCCCACTTTTCTCTTTTCCAGTTTCTTCAACGACTGTTTTAAGAGTTAATTCCTCTTATTATTCTGCCCTTTTCTTTAAATCACACACAGAACACAATACCAGGTTGTCACTGACCTTCAAAGTGAGTTATTTGGAACCAAACATCACATGAAAGAGAATTTTGCCCAGGACACAGCAGCGCAACAAATATCATGACCTCCCCTTGTTCAGGACACCACATGTAATTTTTAAAATTAATTTCATTGGTACATTTTAGATATACAGGGAATTTCATAGGGAATTTGAACCTGTACATGATATATCTTAATTCTTTCCATTCCCCTCTCCTCCCTTCAATCCCTCTTTCCTTATTTACAAAAGCTTTGTTTCCATTCTTTCCTCTATTCTCTTTTTTTCTTTTCCCTTCCTTCTTTTTCCCCCCTAGTTCCCCTTCCCATTTGAGCATTTTCCGCCTCCTTCCCAATATCTATTATACATTTTGGTCCTTATTTGCCCTTTTGGTTTCTCACACAAGAGAAACAATGGGATATTTAAATACAGGAGAACACCACACTTATAACAATGGGCTCACAATGAAAACAGAAATAGTAAAAACAATTACCTTGTTGTAGTCTGAATGTTTGTGTCCCCCTAAAATTTACATATTGAAAACTAACCACCAATGTGATAGCATTAGGAAGTGAAGCCTTTGAAAGGGGTGACTGAGTCATAAGCAGGCTCCATCTTCATGAATGGGATTAATACTCTTATAAAAGAGGTTCCAGAGAGATGATACACTGTGAAGAAACTAGAATGCAGGCCCTCACCAGATGTCAAATCAACTGGTACTTCAATCTTGAACTTCCCAGCCTCCAGAATTGTGAAATAAATTTCTGTTGTCTATATGCCACCCAATTTATAGTATTTTATTACAGGAGACTGAAAAGACTAAGACAAACTTGCATTTTTGGCTGGTAAAAGCACAACCTCACTGTTTACAGAGAAAGAGGAGACCACAAAGATTTATAATAGTGATGCTAGGGAAATCCAAAGTGCTAAGTTTCCATTGTACTGCTTTGACCTTGGCAGCTCCCAGAACTGTACATTCTCCCTTTAGGATGATCTTAACTTCAGAAGTCCAAACCCTTTCGGGCTGGGGATTTAGCTCAGAGGTGCCACGCCTGCCTCGCAAGTGCAAGGTCTGGAGTTTGATCCTCGGTACCAAAAAAAAAAAAGGTGTCACCATTGCTCAAACAAGAAAGGAAATATTATTCCCCTCTATGATCTTAAATTACTCCTTTTCAAAAAACCCACTCTCTCATAGCTTCATGCTCTGTACTTTACCACACGTAGGAGAGAGGGGTAAAAGAAGGTGATATTATTTCTGGGCTCCCAAACTAGGAATAACAAAAAGGGTAGGGCAGAAAACACATCAGGGTCTGAAAAGCATGGTTTATCACAAGCTGGGTTTTCTAAAGGGCCTCAATACTTTATGTGGTCTGATTTCTCAGGCACACAAAGTCAAGTTAAATTAAGAACAAAAAATAAATACAAAATCTAGCCAATTATTTTGGATTACCTGTGCCTACTACATTTCCTGTTTACTAAGGCAGAAAATGGAACCGAACACAACTTCTATTTGATATATTTGTGTACTAAAGCTGTGCATGAAAATGGCAGGAGATCATGCATAGAATTATAGAAATAGCATTTACACCTTAAATACCCAAGTAAATTTGAGGGTTTTTTACAGTTTATTCTTGACAAAACACAATACTGAAGGAGAAAAGGAAATATTTCAAAAAGCAACAATCCCTTATACTTCTTCTGTAACTTATTTGATCCTGCAACAGCTCTGTAAGGCAGCATAACAGATGAATGACACAACATGTAAAGGTACTCTATAAATGACAAAACATGACCCAAACAAGCACAGGAGACTGACATTACAGTATCCATATTTACCATATTCATGGTAAAATAAAGGCCCAGAAGAGTTGTGCTCTGCCCAAGACAGGCATTTTTAAATTTCTAGCTTGGGGTTTTTTCAACCATAGCACTATCACTCTGTTCCAGTAGAGATCAGGCAAGCAAAGTCTGCCACAAAAGCTGTAGATTCAAGAATACAGGTCCTGACCTTGAACTAGGTGACCTACCAGATCCACTCCATCCTGGAGCACTTCTATCTAGATTCAAAACCTTTTTCTGCACTTACTAATTTTTTGTCTATGGGCAAATTACAGTTGTACATCAGTTCAGGAACTTAATTTGTTCTACAATTTTGAAAAAGATGGCCGTGATTGTGTTTGTGTGGGAAAGATGGCTGCAGTCGTGTTTGTAAATGTAGAGTTTGCAAACAAAAACAAAATTCTACCAAACACCTGTTTGTGAACCAAACTGTTTGCAAACAAAAGCATCTGTGAACCAAGGTACCACTGTACTTAATAATTTTGTGCCTCAGTTGTTTCATCTGCAAAATTGGGACAAGAGTATCTACTTCAGAGGGCTAGTCTGAGGATGAAAATGAGTTAAAAGAGTTAAAAAAAAAAATAAAGTCTACAGAATAGTGTCTAACTCTTAAAGGTATTATCCTAAGAGTTCTATCTATATTATACTGAGAAATGATATTTAAAAACCCTTATTATAATGGCATATTATTCTAAGTACTGAATACTACAATTATTATATTAATATGTAAGGAAAACTATACACTCTTGGAACACCTGAAACTTTATACATTTTACTACATATAATGCTTCAAATTTGAAGAAAAAAACTATACACTTTTTAAGTTGTTGAAATTAGAGACGTTCTAAGTACTCAATAAATATTACAATTATTATATTAAGATACAAGGAAAACTGTATACTCTTGAAATACCCAAAACTTTATACATTTTACTATGTATGATGCCTCAAATTTAAAAAGAAAACTAAACCTTTTAGGTTGTTGAAATCAGAGACTTTCTCCATTGTGGTATCTCTTCTCACGCAAACAGCATTTTCCTGTCAAGATCATGGCTGACAGAGAAGACAGGCAACGGCCTCCACACATCACACATGGAGAAACGATGACCCCCAATGGCTGAACGCAGGCATCTGCACCACCTACTCTCCCCCTCACAAGGGGCACACCCCAGCTTCCCAGGCTCTTCTATGGCACTGCTTGGATACTTCACTGTTCTTTAGGCTCTCAGTGCTGACTGCTAAAATAGAGTTGTATTAGCTCAGTAGATATTAAAGGCATCATGGAGAGCCAGGGAAATACAGATAAGAGATGTTTTAGGAGTTGACAGTTAAAGGAGAATCAGGAAGAATTTCAGCTCAGTTTGTAGGGTCCATAACAGAAGAGTGAGAAAGGGGTTGAAGCAAGTGAGGTCTGATTTTCCAGGACCACTGGCCACTGGGAAGAGTAGTAATATTTACTGGTGTGATTACTCACTACTTTACCAAGTCTATACTATGGCAAGTCTAAGACAAACCTCCAAGCTATTCTGTTTGTCCCTGCTCATTTCCCACTGTACTGCAGAAGTTTTGGTAGCATACCAGAGAATATCCCCAATTATCTAAAAAGGCTATTAAAATACTTCTCCCTAGGGCCGGGGATTTAGCTCAGTGGTTCCACAGCCTGCCTCACAAGGGGAAGGACCCCAATTCGATCCTCAGTACCAAAAAAAAAAAAAATACTTCTCCCTTTTCTAATTACACCACTGTGTGAAGCTGTTTTCTTTATTTGCTTTCATCAAAACAACAAGATGAGGGATCGGGGATTAATTAGCTCAGTGGTTCCGCCGCCTGCCTGGAAAGCACAAGGACTGGAGTTCGATCCCCAGTACCAAAAAAAAAAAAAAAAAAAAGATGAATTCTGGAGCAGATAAATACCCAAGTGCCTTCTATTAAGCCAGAAAGGAAATTTACAAAGATGTACAGCAATGCTACATTTTTCACTGAATTCTTTTTTTTTTTTTTTTTTTGTGCTGGTGATCAAACTCCGGACCTTGTGCTTTCAAGGCAGGCACCAGAACCACTGAGCTAAATCCCCAGCCCTTTTTTTGGTCTTTTGACAGGGTCTCACTATGTAGCTCTAGCTGGCCTTGAACTCAAAGCGATCCTCCTGCCTCAGCTTCCCGAGTACTGGGACTACAAGCATGTACACCATGCCCAGCTAAATCCATTTCTTAAATAATTATCTTTTATTCCTTAGTTTCCTTATCTAAAAATAGGGAATAAGGACTATACTGACTTCGAAGAGTAGACCTTCCATAGTGATTCTGGACTCAGCCATGTGGTTGGCTTTGGCCAATGAGACATTATTACTGAGCACAGTGCAAACAAAGGCTTGGAAAATGCTTTGATATTAGGTCTTACCCTCTTTTTTCCTTCTTTTAAAAACTAGTCACCATACAAAGTAGCCCACACTAGCCTGCTAGACACATGTGGCCCAACAGTCTTCTGAGAAAGGCTTACATTACTCAGTCCCAAATCACATGATGGAAGCCAAATGAGTGATCCCAGGAAAGACAACATGAGAACTTAACTGCCCAGCTGAATCCTGCCTAGATTGCTTATCCACAGAATTGTAAATCAGGATTGGTTTAAGCCATAATATTTGGGTTTTTTAAATGTGGCAATAGTTATCTAATACACAAAGTATACACATCCTTAGTAATGTCCACACCACATTTTTATCAAGTTCAAGATACTGTTTAAAAAAGTATTATTCTGAAACATTAATGTAGGAGTATTAAGATAATTGCTTAAACTTGAATAGCTCTTTGTGCTTTTTAAGTTCTTGCATCTATGTATTAGACCAGTTTTCAAAGTGTGATCTTCAGACCCCTGAGGGTATCCAAGGTCAAAACTATTTTTATAATAATACTATTTTTTTCATTTTACACAGAGCTGTATTTGTACTAATGGTACAAAAGCAATGACGAACTAAAACTGTTGGTGTCTTAGTACAAATCAATATAGTGGCAACAAACTGTATTCTTTTTTTTTTTTCCTTTTTTGGTACCAGGGATCAAACGGGTCTTTTGCAGGTGCCTGAACCACTGAGCTAAATCCCTGGCCCAACAAACTGTATTCTTTATCATGTATTCACAGTTCAAAACAAAAGAAAAACGCCAGTCTGAATTACATCCTTGATGGAGTAGTAAAAAATTATTAACTTTATTAAATTTCAACCTTGAGTGCATGTGTTTTTAAGATTCTGGGTTATAAAACAGGAAGTATCATAAGGAGCTTCTCCACACAAAGCACAGTGGCTGTCTGGAGGACAAGCTCCCATATGACTGAGTTACAAGCTCAATTAGCTCTTCTCCTAGAACGCCATTTTTCTTTGACAGAACACTGACAAACTACGGTGATTTAGACTTGGATATTTAGTACATATTTCATCAAAGTGAACTTATCCCTTCAAGGAAATTAACTTTGTTGCCTGTGATGTAATTTGGGCTTTCAAGCAAAAACTAGAATTTTGGAAAATTTGTATATACCACCATGAACTCTTCAGCTTTCCAATATTTAAAGATTTTCTGGTGAGATGAGTAGTGATTTTAAGGAATATAATTTTTTAATATTGTATAATGAAGTGTCAACATTTGGAAGATTTGCACAACTCAGTGAACAAGTATTTTCCAAATGACAACACATAATGTTACATGGGGAAAATAGCCAACGGACAGACCAGGGGATTTTATGGGCTAGAGTACAAAGAGTTGTTGATGTGGTTTCAGATTCCACATGCAACTAACCTTTAAGAAACTACCACTTGTCAAGTTTTAACGGATTATCTGAGAATATTTGAAAAGGCTATTAAAATATGTCTCCCTTTTTCTACTAAATATCTGTGCGAAGCTGCATTTTCTTCATATATTTCAATCAAAAACCACATCAAAATAAATACAGAAGCAGGCAACTACACAGATGTTTTCAGGTAAGCTAGATTTTAATGAAATTTGCAAATATACTGCCCTTTTGCTAAATTTATTTTTAAATGGACTTTCTTCATAAAACTATTTATGATATGTAATAGGGGTTTTTTTTTTACCATTACTTTAAAATGAATTAATAACTAAGTATTAAGAATGTGAAAATGTCCTCAGAGTAAAATGTCTGAGAACTGATATAACCTTGTAACTATTCTAGGAAGTAGAACTGATTTAACCTACTTTTTACAGATGAATAAATAGGTTTAGCAAAGTTAAGTAACTTGCCCAAAATTCCCACTACACTGTTCGCAATCCTGACTACACACGAGAGACACCTGAGAGTTTTAAAAAATACTCATTAAGTGTTCTGGGCTAGGGAGAAGATACTGCTTTTGTTAAGTCCCAGGTGATGTTCACATGCAGCCCCGGTTAAGGAACCACTCACTGTCCTACAGATTAACAGGCATATATATGATTAGGTTATAAGTCTCCCAAACACCAATCTGATAAATTCTCAAAATACACTTTCTTTTATATTTAGGTTACATCATTGTAGGTCCTACATTCACACAACAATTGCACAAAGTAAAAACAAAACTTACACTGGATTTCATTTTACTTACAGGATTCTTGCTTTGCCACTCAACAGGACAGTTATAATCTTGCATGATCCAGGGATGGTTCAACAGATTTTTCATAGAAATCCGTTTCTTTGGGTCCACCTAGTGGCCAGTAAGAAGTAGCTAGAGATTAACATTTCAAATAGAGAACACAGAACACCACTACTCCTGAGAACTGCACCAGAACAGATGTAAACTTTATCATCACAAAAAATGCTGTCAAAGACCTTAAAATGGCCTTGGAATAAATTCTTTTAAGAAGGCAATGGAGGAAAGAAAACTATAGCAACCAACACAGGCTTAGAAGATAAATGTTTAACAAACATGAACTTCATTGGTATGGACATTATTCATGAAGTTCAGTCAATCTATTGTATGATGTAATAGTCTTTTGCTGGAAAATCTATTCATGGGAAATATTCACCAATTTAATATTCAAGCAACCACAATGCAGGGCATTCATACTGAATATGCAATCTCTACCTCCAATGAGCTTACAATCACATAGAACAACTTGAAAAGCATACCTTTCTTTTCCAGTTGTAATTTTCAAATGTGAGGAGAGGAAAAATTAATCAACAAAGATTAAGTTTTTTAGAGTCTAGAAGAAAGGATGAGGCATTTTCGATCTCATTATGGAGATTTGGTGGTCTGTCCCTACTTAAGCAAGGTAGGTGAGCCTGAGGTAAATTTTGACTAAAGGTAGAGATGGCTTAATAGATGGAAAAACCAGAAGATATTCTTAATACATAATGAATAAAATATCGTACTAATAACATATATTTTCAAAGTGTTTCTTATAAATCTCATTTTATCCTCATAATAGTACATAGCAGTGAGGCAGGCTCTGAATCTCCATTTATAGATCAAAACCAATTTTGGTGGTTAGCAGGATGGACACTGACCTAGATTTCACTACTTCTGTGGTTCTCCACATGGGTCCCCCAAACAGCAGCATCTGGGGACTTACTGAAAATGCAGATTCTTAGTCTGTCCCCAGACCTACTGACTTAGAAATTCTGTACATAGGACCCAGTAAACTGCATTAATAAGCTGGTCTGGCAATTTTCTCATATGTGAAAGTTTGAGAACCACTGCACTGGAATACAAGGCCCACTCAATTCTATATCAGCTCATTCAAGCATCCCTTCAGTACCTTCTGTATATCTAATGTGCAAGAATGGAAATAAGAAAATGGAAGAGCTGGGTATGGTGGTGCATGCCTATAATCCCAGCACTTGGGAGGCTGAAGCAGGAGGATCACTGCAAGTTCAAGGCTAATCTGGGCTACATAGTGAGTTCAAGGACAGCCTGAACTACATAGTGAGACCTTGTCTCAAAAAAAAAAAAAAAAAGAAAGAAAAAGAAAAAGAAAAAAGGAAGAGAGATGTGAATTGTGCAAGAGCTAAAGAACATAGGCAATGCTCAAGAAAAAGTATGAAAAAACACATCAGCAGAGACGTAAGTATGGTCTAAATAAACTGGCTTTATAATATAATTAAGAAAGAATCAAAGCTAAGGTGCAGTGGTGAACATCTGTAATCCCAGCACTCTGGAAGGCTGAGGCAGGAGAATCACAAGTTCAAGCCTGCCTGGGCAACTTAGTGAGATTTTTGTCTCCAAATTTAAAAAATAAAAGGCTAGAGATGCAGCTCAGTGCAAAAGCCCTGGGTTCAATTCTCAATACCAAAGGTACCAAAAAAGTTAAACCAAACAATTACAACAGTCTTTCACTATTTAAAAATAACAAAGTTTACCTGCAGCATTTGCTGAAGAAGCAGAATGCTACTGGGAGAGAGCCACTTAGGAACATCATATTTCCCTCTCTGCAAGAAAAAAAATTTTTACAAGGTTTAAGTTCAACCAGCCTTGACACAGATTTCTAGGGTAATGATATGTTACAGATTTACTTCCAAGCTTACAGACTCTACCCAACTATTAAGATTCAGTAAATATTATTAATAGTAAGAAATCCATTTCTTTCCTTAAAAAAAGTCCAATAAATACTAGCATTACCTCTATATCACCTACGTATCAGAGAAGGACTAGAACACATTCTCTATGCTCTTCTTGAAACAATAAATGCTATAGTTATTGGAAACCCACAGTATGATTATATGGACAGCAAGTATACTATTGTACTGAACTTGTATTGCCAAAGCAAACTGGAGTTTATAACCTCAGAGCAATTAGCAGTTGATACAATTAAACAGCTAAAAGGCATATTTGATAGCAAGGCACAGACTGTGTTAAAAAAAGTTCATATATCATTCACAAGGTAGAATCCACAATCACTGAGACAAACTGATTAAAGCTACTTTCTCAGGTAAGTACTTTTTTGAGAATGGAAGAGACTAGGCAGACAAATGTTTATAACCTAGTATACTCAAATTATGATCACATCATCAACAAAAGATCAGATCAGATCGAGTAATTTCTAAACATCAATATGTATTAAAACACCTCTTTATAGAACCTGCCACACATCTCTTCTTACCCAATTCGGAGGAAATGATACAATAATTTCTCACAACAGAGATCAAATTACTTAATGGTACCATAATTCATAGTATAGACCAAAATTAATTTCACCAGATTAAATGCCAATATAAAACCATAGGAACATTGGCTCCTTGGTTCAAGTTCAAGATCTATAACTTACTCGCTATGTGACCTTGGACAAGCTATTTAACCTTACCGTGCCTCAGTTTTCTCATCTACAAAAGGTAATATAATAATAGTACCCACTGCACAGAATCATTGCTAGGATATGATTTAAAACTTATGAAGCACTTAGCACAGTGGCAGGCACAGAGTAAGAGCTCAACATGTTTTACTCTCTTCTACTACTGCTGCTGCTGCTGCTGTTGCTGCTGCTGCTACTACTACTATAGCTGCTGGTGACCCTGCTAATATTGTTACTATATGTAAAATAATGCCACATATCAGATTTAAAAAAGAATAAGAAAAGTATGCATGTGAAAGCAATGCCTTGCACATGAGGCAATAAATGTTTACTGAATCTGAAAAAATAGGATGATTCTCAAAAAACAAAACAAAACAAAACAAAACTCAGCATAGTAAGAAAGGCTAAGGCCATTTTGAGGAACATTACATGCCATCCCAAGGGAGCTCTGCCCACTGCAGCTGCTTCAGAATCTCAGGACTGCCTGGTAAGAAACATCATTTAGTCAGGCCTGGTCACATCACCTCCTGAAATATACCCACTCACTTTCCCTATTTGGACATAACAACTCTGTAAAGAATCCTCCTCGAGCAAGTCATGAGGCCTGACACCATCCTCCAACACTAGAAGAAGCTTCACTGTCTTCACTGGAGTATCAGTAGAAAAAACTTTAGATTTGATATGAATTCTGCTGCCAGGCTTAAACCAACCTCTTATTTGTACAAAGTTCTTTTTCTTTCTCTTTTTCTCTTTCTCTTCCTCTCCCCTCCCCATCCCTGCCCCTCTTCCTTGTGTGTGTGTGTGTGTGTGTGTGTGTGTGTGTGTGTTTTGGAGACAGGGTCTCTCTTCTCAGTTCAGGCTGGCCTCAAACTCATGGCAATCTTCCTGCCTCATCTCCCGAGTGCTGGGATTACAGGCCTATGCCACCATGCCTGTCTGTACATAGTACTTTTGGGGGAGGGGGTTTCTAAAATAGGGTCTTGCTATGTAGTCCAGGCTGGCCTACTTGTGGGGCGCCTCCTCCTGTCTCAGCCTCCCAAGCACTGGGATTACAGGCATATGGCACCATGCCCAACTATACATAGTACTTTAAAATGGACAAAACATATCATTGGTTCTCATTTGCCCCAAAGGAGACATGTGACAGTGTCTGAAGACATTTCTGATTATCATAACTTAGAGGGTACTACTGGCATCTAGTGGATAAAAGCCATAGATGCTGCCAAACATCCTATAATGCACAGATCAGCCCCACTCCCAACCCCAACGAAGAATTATCTGGTCTAAAATGTCAATCAATACCATGACCTTGAGAAACATTGTTAGAGAACAAAAAAGGGTTAGCAATAGGACTGAGATAGTACTTTTTCTACTGTGTTATGCCAGAAGGTTCAAGAAAGTCTACATGTAGACAAAGAAAGGCTACTATTTTAAATATTAAAAAATATACTTCCAAAGATCAAACAAAAAAGACCTTAGGGAACAATTCTGCTGGGGAAGAGCACTGTCACAAAAGGCCCTGTGTCAACCGGGACTATGACCCCTTAACCCTTGTTTCTGCTTAGTCTTTGGAGAATTCTTGTTTCTTTATTTAAGGGACGATTACCTTGCAAATGAGAGCAAGAGGAACAGCAGGGGAAAGCCAAAGTGGGGGGAGGGGAGGATCTGTGGGCTAAGTAAAATAATCCTGGGAATTCCAGCAGGCTTCAAATTTTTCATTGTTCACATAGTTCTAAGAAAGGCAAATGCTCTCACGAACACACAATCACAGTACTGTAGTCAACCCTATAATTGTAAAAAAAAAAAAAAGTCTCATAAAGAGACATCTTGTTTTTCTTTAAAATTATAAATTATAATTGTTAATAAGCAATTCTACTTTTAATCCTCTCGACTTTCATTTACTAAATTATTGATATTACTATAGTATTTGTGTACTAGAACTAGAAATGGTCATGCTTGTCTTTGAATGCAGTTAGTAGCAAATGAAATAGGTGACATTACTAAGATTAATATTCACTCTTAATAATCATGATGAAAATTGCAGTTGAGCATTTTGGTAAAATAGCCAACAAATCCTAAAGATAAACGAAGTCTGCCTCTTAAACAAGAGTTATATACAATGTGTCAAATATTGCTGGGTTTTTCAATCAAGCCAAGAATTGAGGAAAGTGTTATTCCCAAGTGAGGAATTTTAGAACATTCTAGGCAAAGATACATACTGCATGCAAGTGATACGACACCTTAATTAGATTCAACCAGCAGACTGTATTACACTGCGACTCGGAACAATAGTTCTGAGCCAAGATTACAATAAATTTCAAAATCTATAATGTGTGAAATTAAATTCCACAATAATGCATAAAAGTCCTAATTTGAATCAATTTTCAACTTGCAAGTACATGAAAAACTAAAAAATGGAATTCAAAGTAGGAGAAACAAAGAATATACAGTATTATTAAATAATATTAATTAGGAAGGCCAATTCTCGACTGAACAAGAATTATACCATACTCATTCCAAAGATACTGGATTTACCAAAAATATCAAAACTTGAATCTAACATGTACTATTAGGATATAACACATTTGTACTATTTTAAGGTACGCTCCTTCCCCCAAAAGGATTAATTCAGAATCTACTAGTGCATTCATTAAATAAAATAAAAAATAAACAAACATATTGATGAAACAATATATTAATAGTAGCATTAATTCTATGGCTGCCATATGAATATGAACTTGCAGTAACAGCAAATGAAGATAAAGAGCATAGCAGTTTAAGGTCTAGATACAATAGGTAAAATACAGCAAAGCTTAGGGGTAAGTCAGTAAGTTAGGAAAATCACAGACATAATGTAATTCAATTTCAGTAGAATATTAACAACCACTTATTTTATCTGAAGATAAGACTATAAAATCCTAGTTAGCTGTATCTGATAGAGACGAAAACTAAATACCCTAACAGTTATGGGGGGTCTTGTTCTATTCAGATCTGGGTTTTTTCTATAGTTTCTATGCTTTTATTTAAACACAAATAAAACATACACATGAATCATCTATTTGTTTTCTTCACTATGCATCCTGGCTTGGGACTGTGACTCAGATGGCCCATCAAACTGCTCCTTCCACAATGGCTTTGCAGTTATTAGAGAAAATATGAGCAATCTCAGCACAGTAAGATTCTTCCTCCTTTACACTATATATCGTATGAATCAGGAACTTCTAGAAGTCACTGGGAAGCATGCACTTTGTTTTCTTGTTGCTCCTATAATCAAAGATGAGTGTCAAGATCCAGCCCGTGAATATTCTCTACACTCTGTTGTCAATATTTCTGCTTAATTTTAACATATTGGTCTCAGTGGTGCCAGATGAACTTCTTGATCCTCTTTCTGACAGTCTCAGCTTTCACAAAGCATCTGAGGACAGCCATGATACAGAGTAGGAGATAGCTGCCACCTCCATAAGCAGCACCAAGGAAAAGTCTATTCAATTTTTGAAACAACAACTTGAGAGATATTTAAGAAATGTACACAGGTACAATACTAGGAGGGACAGTGGTATTACATGACAATAAAATCAAGATTCAAAAAAAAATTTTTTGGTATCTAGGATCGAACTCAGGACCTTGTGCTTGCAAGGCAGGCAGCAGCACCACTGAGCTAAATCCCCAGCCCTAAAATTCAAAATTTTAACATGAGATTATTATGCTGAAATAAAAAAGAAAAACTGAATGTGAATAAATAGAAGTTAAAGAACTTAGAGCTACTGAGAGCTGGAAAGGACCTGGAAAAAACTGATTACTATAATGTTTTAATACTGATGAACAAAATCAGGGCTATGTCTACTGCGGTGACATCTAAAGTAAATGGGAAAAAATAGTGAATGGAAAGCTGATATACAATAATACCTAATAAGTATTGGGAGAAATGGGCCGGGATTTAGCTCAGTGGCTCTGGCACCTGCCTCAAAAGTACAAGGTTCCAAGTTTGATCCCCAGTACCAAAAAAAAAAAAAAAGAA